CATATAGTAAAACCATTAGCCGCTTAGCTTCTCAAGTTAGGATCATTCCAGTAGCCTGGTAGAGCCTAAGCGCTTTCCCAGGCTATATGAGGATACGTACTGCGCGACCCTCCACCGAAATGCATCGACGACTCTTTCATCGCCCTCGTCGGCTGCGCCCACCGCGTCGGATCAAACACTTCAGGTCGCGGGAAGACCTCAGGATTTCTATGGAGCGTATATGCCTGCGTCGTGACTGTCGAGCCACCCGGCAGCCAGAATCCCGCCAGCTCGGCCCCTCCAGTTGGCACGAGGCGCGGGAGGCCTGCCGGGACCGCAGAATACAGACGGAGAGTCTCGTCAATGACCTGGTTAAGGTAAGGCAGGGACTTGAGCATGTGGTCATCGAATTCCGGAGGCAAGGCTGCAAGCTCCTTTGTTAATATCCGGAGGATACTGTCGTTGCGGCAGACGCTCCAGACCAGGTATGTAAGGGTGTTCGAGGTCGTATCGCTACCAGCAATAAGGTAAACGCGGGCCTCAGCCAGGATCTCCGTGTCAGAGAGCCCCTCATCGCCAGCCCTAAATAACTTGCGGAAGAGTGTTATGGGGGCGTTATCGGGCTCAGCAGTCACCAGATGTTTATATCGTTGTAGGGATTGTTTGCTATAGGCAATCATTCTTTTGAGGGTTCCCTCAGCGTCGCGGAATATGGGGATGGGGAGGACGGTAGATAGCGTGTGTAACCAGGGGAATGATACCCTCAGGGCCCCGTTCTTAGCTATACTTTCAAGGTCGATGATGTATTGGTTTTTCTGGGAATGTCAGGTCAGTGGAATGCTCAGCTGTCCGCTGTCAAATTCCTTCCTATCCTATCCTCTCCTCCTCTGATCTGCTCCCGATACTTTAAGTGGGGCTACTCACCCTCCCTTTCTCGAGCATGCGGAATGACTCCCCAAAGCTCAGCTCACCGATGACATCCGTGGTATAGAACATAAACCACTTCCATACATCTGCTGCGCCTCGTTTCTTCATCTCCTCGCCGATTTTCCGCACAACAAGAGAAGCGTTAGCTCTGACGGTAGGTTCAACAGCCTTCAACGCAGATTCTGACAAGGGCATAGACAGCAGGCGGCGGTGACGGCGGTGGTATTCGACGTCCGTGGTACTGAAAACATTAGGAGTGGCCCCGCCCGTCATTTTCGTATACCAAGGTGACTTGAGGTAGCCCGACTGGATGGAGTGGATCCCTCGGACCGCGGGAATATATGAAACATCAACTTCATCAGCGTTTGTTCGCACGATGGGCCCTGGGTTAAGAGAGTCAGCCACTAATATTATCCCAAGTGTTCCTGGGTATATTAGAAACTGGCTAGGGCATGTACCGTATTTTTGGTGGAGTCGGTAGACATACTGTCCACCCTGGCCGGTCATGCTGTAGTATTTGAATACTATGTTTGTCCAGACGGAGTACCATGGTCCAGGGATGCGTGCAATAGGAGCATTCAGAGTGCGATATACATGCTAATACGGCAACTACGTCAGCACAAACAACCCAACTGGGCCAAAGCTCGATGCGGTGATGCTTGTGACCTCAAGTTTTTGCGTACATATAAGACTCCCGATATTAGGACAACAATGACGGATCGATAGACATGGTAATAATCGGCGAGTTCGAAGTAGGTATTGGACGTCATGCCTGCGTCTTCGAGTCTAGAAGTAATGGGGACAGAGGGAGAAGTAGGAGAGTTCCACAGGGCAGAACGGAAACCGATTCGAAAATGCATTCGGTTATATGACCGATAAAGGGATCCTGTTAAGATATTTCTAATCGCTCAATTAATATAGCGAACGCAATCACAATATACCCATCGGCGTTGAATGCGTGCCGAGCGCCGAGAAGGATCCTTGCTGATGACGTTGAACCTTTTCGATTCTGCTGCAATCCGCTGATCCGCTCCTTCTCTACCCCACATCCCCGTAAGCAGCAAGTAACAGATACGCAGGTCAAATGGTTGCTAATGCAAGTTGAAGATCACAACGGCACTCGCGGCCAAGCTCTTGGCGGGGAAGCATCGCTGTGTATTACGTGAGAGAGGAACTTTTGGAGTACGAGCCGCATCTGACGTGAGCAGGTTCCTATGATCCCCGCGGGGATAAATGTCCGTGGTTGAGGCCAGGGGTTTTCCGACGTCAAGTCCACAGCCAGGCAACGTCTCAACCTCGATGTTGGTGCACCAGATATAGGTAATACATTCGGCCATATCACCACCAGTATCCTCCTCCTCCTGAGGATACTCCACAAAGATAGCGTTGTTCCTGGCTACATGTCGGCTTGAGGTTCCCCGTAAACCCCTGCCTGCGCTCTGGATGTCGCTTCCAGGCTTGGTTCATCCCCGGCACAATCAAGGCTCAATGAACAGGATGATGCCACAACGGTAACACGATTCCATAAGGCCAGAAACTGTAAAGCTTCGATTACTTGAGGAGGAGGAGAAGTCTTATTATAATCCAGGAGCTGTTACTTTATTGCCTCAAGATAGAGCCTTCAGAATAGAGCCAATGAAAAGTAAACTGCCCGTCACGAGAACTTGTGTTGCTACCCCACTTCTCACTCCTTGAACGTGATCGATGACATGGTCGGGGTGCGCAATAACAACCCGCATACCGGGGAAACTTTCTCTCCAAAGCTTTTCAACGTGGGCTAGACGGCGAGTATCGATAGAATAGATGACAGACGTGAAGATGGCACAAGAGATAGGCAGGATTAAACTTGCTCTGAGGCACTTGAGAGTCTTGAAGGGGTCGTGGCGGTCAGAAGTCAAGGCAAATACAAACAATCGCTCGACAGGGGTAGACCTAGTACGCCGAGTTAACGGCTGACCGCTGTAGGAATCCGGGGTACCTCACGCTTGAGTGTCGGAAAGACTATCGAACCACTTTGCAGCCTCGACAGCACTCATCGGATTGTGTGCCCCATCCAAACACCAAAGAATATCCCCTTTCGCAATAGTCTGGAAGCGCCCAGGCCAGGCGAATTCCTGCATTCCGGTTCGAATATCATGAGAAAGAAGTGAAAGGGCCGGTTCCGAGAGCTGAGAAACGTAATGGCGATTTCCTTTGCAAGAGCAGCATTGATCTTTTGCGGCGTATTGGACACACCATGAAAGTTATGATCAACGTCCACGAACCTCAAGATGACATTTTTCTCAGCGGCTCGGTCCCTCAATACTTGCTCAACCTTTGGATCCTGGAGGACTGAGAGTGCATAAGCACCTTTCTTGAATATGCCAGACTTACGCCAGGCGATATTCTCGATACTCGGTCCCAACTCCTTGACGTGGTCTAGCCCGATACTCGTGAGAGCAGTGACAACTGGTTGTTGGATGATGTTGGTGACATCATACTCTCCTCCATGATGAGCCTCATATATTGCAACATCAACGCCTTCCTTGAGGAAAGTATGGAACGATAGAAGAGCCAGAAGTTGTAAATATCGAGGACCGCTACCTCCATCACCAAGGGAGTCACAGATGTCGAAAATATTCTCGGCAAATGCCTTCTCGGATATAGAAACAGAATCAATGCGGATTCTCTCGGTGGGCTCGATCAGATGAGGTGATGTGTATAGTCCAATCTTCTTAGGAAATCCGGTTCTGCTCTGATGGCTCTTCAAAAAGCTCTCGACGAACACGCATGTACTGCCTTTGCCGTTCGTTCCTGTAACATGAATAATGTTCAAGCCATTTATATGCCAGTCCTATTCAATATTAACTGCCAGAAGTCTTAGGTAGGGTCTGTGTGATATACCGTGTGCCCTAGGCGCCGTAGCCATTCCTTCATTCCGTCGATATGGGGGGTGCCTTGGAAGGAAGTCGAGCCATCTGGAATGTTTATATTGTGACCGGAAGAGACCGGTGGCTTCTTAGATCTTGACACCTTACGCTGGGCTAAAATCTCCTTTGCATCCTGGAATGGTGAGAGGCGGCATCGTAGAAAGGTATGGCAGACTTACGTCGTAGGTCCTTTGGCGGTGCTCCATTAGGTTGACTTCTGGTTTGGATGAGAATGCCGTCCCTGGCGCATAGTGACGCTCGCTATTCTTATCGGGCAATCGCAGATGCATTCCCTGGGATTTCTCTGTTTAGGAAGAGGAAAAAACCGCCGGGGGGGTGCTGTGGATTTATGAAAAGGCGGGGATTGTATCACCAGGTGCCACTTCCGAACTTTCTCCTACAGGTCCGAGATGAGGATGTGCAGACAATACACCGCTTGAACCACGCCACGTATCCCTCCGTTTGTACTACTTACGGTAGGCCCAATATCAATCCTATGGCGTGGAAAAGCAAGAGTGATATGGGACGCCACAAACATGCACGCATGCATGCCCTTGACACCGAAAGACCAAAAAAAAAGGATGCAAACTGACGCCCACTGCGACGAAATGAAGGGGTGCGATCATTCAAGTATGACCAGCAGCGAGAATATATACTCTTAAATATAACCCCATTAACATTATAGCCAGCTTTGAATGGGTTATAAAGCTACCTGAACTCGGTAAGCTTCGAACGAAAAGAGTGGCGTGGACAGCATCGTTTTGACCCTTACGGAATGGACCATTGGACTGTCCAGTGGTTTTACTTATAATTTCAAAAGTTGAATTGGAACCTAAGCGCGACTTCAGTACCCAAGTCAAAGTGGCGTCTAACTCGGCATTGCTACAGGAGGCAGGACAGGGCCAAAGAGAAGTCAGATAAGATATGATACACTAGGTGAAAATGTCATTCCCAAAGTCATAATGGGGTTCAAGCATCATCCAGAGCGCCCACGGTTATATTTGACATGGCGGGATAAGGGTAAAGATAAGCATAAGTCATCAGGACTTAGTTATTCTGACACAACTAGCATTACTTTCACTCACAAGACTATGTCGATAACCCATGCCTAACAGTTCCCTCTGAGACCGCCTCGAGTAGTCTGTGGCCAGTGATAAAGTGCGTCCCACGAGGGAGCGCATTCAAGGACCCATGGCGCAACGGTAGCGCGTCAGATTCCAGAAACGGTTGGTTCATTATCCTCCCCAGCAAACTGGAACTTCCTGAAGGTTAAGTGTTCAAATCACTTTGGGTTCAATTTTTTATTTCTTTTTTCTCATTACCTGACTCTATAAGAGCTGATAAGTTACACAGCGTGATACCGTTGATCTATGGGGTGTAAAGATGAAAAAGAAGTCCACTTAGGGGGTTAAACATGGCGTTGGTTGGTGCTCTGCCATCTATAATCCCCTGCGTTTCCTCGCCCCCCTTATATATCGGTTTCCGACAAGCAATGGCGAAAGCTGGTCAGAGATAAGAAGGGGAGAATCGATCCCGAGACTCACCGCTCGTTGGTGTCGTTGTTGCATCATCCTAATAGGGCGAAGCTAGAGATGTCAAATGGCATGTTCCTCGCACGCTCGATACTAGCTGTGAAAATTACCCAGTCATCATGGGTTGCATGGAACACCACAGTGTATCATTTAATAGGACTCAAAACTTATCCTGTGCATCATTCGTAGGTCATAGTTTATGGTGAGATTAGGGGGCCGTGGAAGTTGTTGTACAATTGACCCATCCTACGGGAGGAAGACGACCCTTATTTGGTCATTGATGTCTTGATGGAAGGTTGTAAGAATTGTTAAATGACCTACCGTATCTCTCCATCGACATGCTTCGGTAGGGGACGAGTAAGGCTGACAGAAGGAAATTGATCTTTCGTTTAGAAGCACTAATTCAACACATAGCCTACATAGCTCCACCGCCATTACGGACGGCATACACCCTCTTCTCCCCATTGTCGTCGAAGTTCAACCATTTCTCCTCGAACTATACTCATAAGTCCTCACGGCGCCAAGCCCCTCCTCACACTCCAATATTTCTCCTTACCTATCACTATTCGGATTTGCCTGGTTTCAAGATAGAGAGGCAGTAGGAGGCACTGAGCTGTGAGCTGCGCCATCCCTCGCGCAGGAGACATCTTCTTCTTGAAGGACTCATGGCTAGTAATAATCCCACTGTAACAGAGATACCACTCTAACTACAGTTGGCGACAGAATATTGTGTTAGCCCCTCCAGGAGGTAGAAATGTCTGATAGAGGGACTCGGTCGGCGCCTCTAGCCAGCAAAAACAACCCAATGCGAGATGCCACGTAGATAACAAGTATCAAGCAGTAGTCTAGGAGGGCCAATGCGTCCTTCCCGCCGCTATAAGTTCTCCCGGGTAACGTGGCCAGAGATGGAATGGTTGGGCTTGTCTTGGTGTCTGGGCTTGCCTGGGTCACCGGATACATTAAACACGCTCCGGCAGACTTGTCGCCGTCGTCAGCTTTCGGGCCCAACCAAACGGCGACGGACGTGGCCTTGTTGTAGATATCCGTCATCAGCCGGGTTTGTCCGATTCGCTCTGTTGGGTCTTGTCGATTAATGCAGAGGGCATCTATCCATACAAACACAGATTGATGTGTTTGTCTCACAGCACCGAGAGCCCCGTGTACACTGACGGGGACAGGAATCTCTCCTGCGTCAAGTTTCACGGTTGCCGTATCCCCGGAGTCTCCCCACGCGTATGATATAGCGATGTACTGTCGTGGGGCCAGCAGCGACTCGTGATGGACACGGCACCTGATCTCATCTGTCTGTGAGGGTAGAAGCTCCACAAGCCGGAACTCAGACGGTTTGAGTGTCGTGTATAACTCGAATGCTGGCTTCGCCTGCAGAGCGCTACTGGTCGGAGACGTCACCGCCGCTTGGGTCACCTGTAAAGGAGAATCCTCGAGACCAGCCGCCTGGACGTCCGATACATGGTTGTCGAGGACCGGCACTGCAAGGACTGGGGAGGAGGTAGCATTCTTGCTCTTGACACGAGAGCTATACCTCGATGAATGCCGACCAGCGGCCGGGATGGCGGTGGAGGCCGGGATGTGGGAGGGGTGGTTATCGATGATCGGAGCTACAGCGCTGGGAGAGGTGGCATTCCTGCTCTTGACACGAGAGCCGTACCTCAACGAATGCCGACCAGTGGCCGGGGTGTGGGCGGGGACCGGGATGTGGGAGGGACGGTCCTCGATGGTCGGAACTGCAGCGCTGGTGGGAGAGGTGTCCCTATTGCTCCCAGTGATCGGAGCCGCAGCGCTGGGGAAGGAGGCAGAATTCTTGGTCTTGACTCGAGAGCTGTACCTCGACGAATGATGACCAGCGGCTAGGGTGTGGGAGGGGCGGTTCTCGATAATCGGAATTGCACCGTCCGGGTGGGAGATGGTACTCTTACTCCTGGCACGGGAGCTGTATCTTGACCAATGCCGCCGCGTTCTATCAGCCGGTACGGTGAAGACCGTATTATCGACGGTCGGTATTACACCTTTGGGAGGGACCGCAACAACCCTAATCCCCGTACGGGAACTGTACCTTGTCCAATGCCGTCGTGGCCGATCAGCCTGGAGATGGGAGAAGTGGTTGGTGGAGGTGTTGCCGGGGATGGGCGCTGTCGCATTTCGGGGAGGTATCGTTTTATCGACCTTGGCGCGGGAGTTGTACCTTGTCCAATGCAGCCGCGATAGAGGAGCCGGGGCGCCGGACGAAGGGTTGGGTGGAGGGCTGCCGAGGGCCGGCGCTGCAACGTTGAGGGAGGAGAGCGCGCTCTTTCCCTTGGTACGGGTGCTGTACCTCATCCAATGCGGCCGCACTAGACGAGCCTGGGCGTCAAATGGAGGGCCAGAGGGTGAGTTGCTTAAGGCCCACGCTGCGACGCTGAGGGGGTTCAAAGCACTCTTTCCCCTGGTGCGGGAGCTGTACCTCGTCCAATGCTGCCGCGGTAAAGCAACCTGTTGAGGTAAACGACGGTCCGAGGGACGGTTGCTCGGGGTTGGCACTGCGTCGTTTAGGGAGATGGAACCCTCGTTCTTGGTACGTGAGCTATACCTCGACGAGTGCCGGCGTGGTAGGGGGGCCTGTATGACAGAGGTACGGCTGTCGTGTATTGGTACAGCAGAGGGGTGATCGTGAAGGATCGGTAAGTTACCGGAACGGATGTCGAGGACAGGCTCGGCGCTATTGGGGGACATAATACCGTCGCTCTTGACACGGGCGCTATACCTCAGCAAATGCCGCCGTGGCCGATCAGCCTGTACAGAAGTAATAGAAGAGGGATTATCGTCAAGAACTGGTGCGGTGCAGGAACGGATGTCGAGGACAGGCTCGACACTATTCGTGGAAGTAAGACCCTTGCTCTGAGCACGGGAGCTAAGCCTCACTAAATGTCGCAGTGGCCGATCAGCCTGTGCAGAGGGACTGCTATCGTATAGCGGTACAGGAGAGTGATTATCGTCAAGGATCGGTGCGGTGCTAGAGCGGATGTCGAGGACTGGCACTGCACCACTGGGCGAGGAGGGCGGCCATTCGGTCTTGGGACGGGAACTGTACCTCGACAAATGACGCCGCGGTCGGGGAGCATCTACAACAGAGGGGCAGATGTCGTTGATCGGTAAAGGTGTGAGATTGTTGTCGACGATTGGTACAGCGCAGGCACGGATGTCGAGGACCGGAACTGCATCGTTCGGTGGTGGCGGGGAAGGCCACTTTCTCTTAGGGCGGGAGCTGTATCTTGAACGATGTAACTGCAGGTGAGCAGCCTGAACATTAGATGGAGAGTGGTTGTCGAGTCTCAGTTCCAAGTCGAAGATCGGCACTACATCGTGGGTGGATGGGGTAGGCCATTTGGTCTTCGGGCGAGTGCTATAACGGGACTGATGCCGGCGTGGCCGAGGAGCGTTTACGGCGGAGGGAAGGGCCTCATTGATCGGTATTGAAGTGGGATGACTGCTGACGATCGGTACAGCGCAGGAACGGATGTCGAGGACTGGCACTTCATCCTTTGGTGGCGTGGGAGGCCACTTGGTCTTGGGACGGGTGCTGTACCTCGAAAGATGTAACCGTGGCGGAGCGGCCGGTATCGCAGAGGGATGACGATTCTCGAGTCTCAGCGCTACATCGAATATTGACACTGCATCATTTGGGGAGGGGGTGGGCCACTTCGTCCTAGGACGAGTGTTGTATCTCGATAAATGACGGCGCGGCCGAGCAGGCTGTACATCCGAGGGACTGCTGTTATCGAGGTTTGGTGCTATATCAAAGATCGATACTGCATCGTCGGTGGGTGGGGCAGGCCATTGGGTCTTTGGACGGGAGCTATATCTCGACGAGTGCCAGCGTGGCTGAACTGCACGTATGTCGGACGGAGGGCGATTGTCGAGTCTTGGTGCTGTATCGAAGATCGGCACTGCATCTTGGGCCAATGGGGTAGGCCATTTGGTCTTCGGACGGGTGCCGTACCTCGACAAATGCCGCCGTGGCTGATCTACCTGTGCGTCGGGGGGAGGGCGGGTGTCGAGTCTCGGTGTAGCATCGAAGATCGATACTGCATCATGGGCAGATGGAACTGGCCATTTTGTCTTCGGTCGGGAGCTATACCTCGACAAGTGCCGGCGTGGCTGATCTGCTTGTACGTCGGACGGAGGGCGGTTGGCGAGTCTCGGTGTGGTGTCGAAGACCGGCACTATGTCATTGGTGGATGGGGTAGGCCATTTAGTCTTTGGACGGGAGCTATACCTCGACGAATGCCGGGGCGGTCGCGCACCACGCTCGCTACCATCATCTACGATCTCCTTCGCGTCACGAGGATGCTCCGCAAGCGCGTCGCAGACACGGATAGGGTCTGGCCGCTCTCCTGCAGAAGAGCTAATGGACAGCTTTTCTTCTCGCTCGCTAATTTCACGAACGACGCCCTGCGCATTTCTATTGTCCACGCGACGCGCAACGGGAGGAGGTATTGCGACTACTCGATCCGAGTGGTGGCGAGTTCTCTGCATCCACTCCGAGGAAAGCGACTTCCACAGAAGAGGCGAGGAAACCTGGCGCATGCTTCGAGGTCTCTGCCACGTGTCGATAGCCGTCAACTCGAGGGCGGCGCGGGACCTAGGGTTCGCATGATTGACTTTCTTCCCAGGCCTGGCGACATCGCGGGGGTAGTGATTGCGATCTCCCCTTGGGCGAATGTTGACACGGGGTCGGGGATTATCGTCAACGGATGTGGAGTCATC